TTGTATATAAAACTAAAGAAAGAATTAAGCTCAAATATCTATAAAATAATCATTCTCAAGCTTTATTAAAAAGATTTACATAAAAAATTGTCTAAAAAATTAATTTAAAAAAAAAATTTAACATTTTCGAAAGTTACCACTTTGTGAAGAATCACCCATTTACCATATTGTTTAATTGGCCTGGTGTTGTTGGCTTTTGATTTGAGAAACAGTTAATATTCATAAAAAACAGTGCAAATCGAATTTCAGACACTTTTAATGTTTGAAAAGTTTTTAGGCGACATTCCAGTTCAAAATGTGAAAAAATTGATTTTTTTTATTTTCGGATTTCTTATACACCGAAAAAAAAAGTTCACGAATCTCTCGTGAACTAGTATATCACTTTTGGATGGGACACAAAATTTCAAAATTTTCATTCACTTTTGATTAGAAATGTCGAACGTCAACGAAAAACTGAAACAAAGTTAATGAATTTTTGATGAACTGTTAATGAAGAGTAGTTCGTCAAAAGTAGAGGTACAAGTTCACGAAAAAATCGTGAACTCGCGAGTGTCAGTAGTATGCGCAGTTCGTAATGCGCATCAAATATGGCTGATCAAGCATTCATCATTCAGTCGGTGTCATCGGTGTTTACATTCGGGAAAATTCTTTGATGAAAGTTATTATTTAGAATCAGTGTTTTTTATTACTTATTGAATATTTTTGTTTGCTAATTTCCTTTGTGAAACAAATAATTCATAAAATGAATTAAAAGTTACGATAAGGGACTTTTTCTACTTTGCACGGTCCTGAGTTTTACAGCAGACAAAGCTAATCGTTTCGTTTGTCGAAGGACAGTGTATCTAGATTTAGCCGTGGCGGTTAGTTGTTAGAAATATTATGTTATAGGGTATAGGTACTAGGTTCGAATCCCGTGAAGCGAATTACGAATTTTAATGGCGATAAAATTGTGTATTCTGTGTAGTTGGATGCGTAATAGGCGTCAAGTTATCAAACAAAGTGAAATACTATAAAAAAGTAGTGTCTGGAAATTATTTTTTCTTGTTTTTAGCATTTTTTAAAAGTTCACGAATTTTTCGTTAACTTTGACGAAAAGTTCGGAAACCGTACTATGTTTCTAGTGAAGGAGTTGATGAAATTTTGACGAACTGTGTTTGTTGATTTTCAAGAATTTTGTGTCCCATCCAAAAGTGATATACTAGTTCACGAGAGATTCGTGAACTTTTTTTCCGTGTAGTGTCAAGAATACTCTTCTAAAATTTTATTGCAAAATTCAAAGTAAAACAAAAGTTATACATACCCAGTGGGCACAGGGACGTCTAAAAGACGTCTTAAAGACGTCTTTTTTTGTCCGCGGACGATTCGGGGACAATGATGGCAATGTCTCTGAGTCATCAAAAAGACAACTAAAAGACGTCTAAAAGACGTTCTATGTCTGGTCCAAAAGACGTCCAAAAGACGTCTAAAAGACATAAAAAAGGACGTCTAAAGTACTTCTAAAAGACGTCTTTTGGACGTCTAAAAGACATAAAAGGGACGTCTAAAAGACGTCTTTAAGACGTATTTTGGACGTCCTTTTTACATTCCTTCAGATCTTAAATAAACATTTCTTTTATAACATTTTCTAAGTTGAAATTCAGTAATATTGTATTAAATTTATTTTAAGTTTAATTTTATTTTTTCTAAAATGTGGAGAAATAATGAAAAAATTCCGACGAAGCTGGGATCGAACTCGGATACCTTGGGCTTGAAACACTGCGCCTTAAGCACCTCAGCCGTTCAAGACAGATATGAACCTCTACAAAGTTAACGATCTCACTTGTCAATGAAATGAATTTAACTTAGAAAAATTCCAATGAATTTCACATTCAAAAATTTCTAAGTCCAAGTTGAACTTAGAAAATAATATTTTCTATTTATGAAAATTTTTCTATTTTAAAATGTTGAATGAAAAAGACGTCTTTTAGATACCTTAAAGACATCTAATGGCCAAGACATAGAACATGAATAGGACGTCTTTAAGACGTCTTAAAGACGTCTTTTTGTACAAGTCCAAAAGACGTCCGCAAAAAGACATCCTTTGGACGTCTTTTGAACAAGTGTGCCCACTGGGTACTTATTCTTTTATTAAAAATCAACTGGATCTGCTTGAAAATCGTTGCTCGGAAGTTTTTGGGGTCGCTGCTTACGAATATTATATCAGATTTTTGAAATTTAAAATGTCGGATCCAATATGGAGGCCGATTTTTTTAAAAAATCATCGGATTTGCTTGAAAATCGTTACTCGTAGGTTTTCTGGAAAAACTGGAAAATTTCCAACTCCCTTCTTATTTATAAGAGAAATTTTGAATAAAAACATGTGTTTTTTTCATGTTTTGGGGAAAAAGTACTCTAAAAAAAGGTGGGGAAGAAAATTCCACTTTTTTGAGGTTCCACGCCTAAAGAAATATCTAACGAAGAGAATGTCACTTCGTTTTTGGTTTTATCTGTTTTAGAAAGTTTGGAATCGATCTTACCATATAAGAAATGGACATTTTTGAAAATGGTGTATATCGCCGCCATTTTGAAGTAAAAAAGAAAAAAATTTTTTTTTGCATATTCTTAAATAAATTATTTGTCACATGTAAAAGAAATTTTATTAATAAATGCCATAATATTTTAATAATATATAGACTAAAAAAGACTTATTTTTTCCTGTTTTGAACTGGAATTTCCCCTTAAAACCTTAAACCATGCGATATGTCTTTAATAAATCGTAATATTGTGTAAAAGCTAATTTTCTGTATTTTTACTTAAGTACTTATATCTCTTCTATATTAGCAGTTTAATTATGATCGACAATGGCTTATTTTCATCCCAAAAAATTGTACTTTAACGTCCAAAAAGTCAATCATTTTCTAAAATTTTGTTAAAAATAATGACAAATTCCAAACAAATTCATAAATAGCTCCTAAACCGTCAGTCCAATTAAAAAATGTGGTAAATACTTTTTATCGGAAATTTAATTGCCTTCAATTTGCTTCAAAGAAAATTGAAATCGATACATTCGGAAATAATAATGGTACATTATTGAATCCTCTTTTTATCAAAACTTAAAAAATTGAAATTTAGCTATATCGAAAACTGTTCTACTTTCTTAATATCTGACTTTATATTTAGATTCGGGAGTAAATTTTACGTAAGTGTAAAACTGGAAAAATATTCAATGTCCAGAATTTTTAAAAAAGTTCTGAATTTTGTTGTCAGTAGCATTTTAAAATTATTGAAAAGATTTAATTTAATTTTTAAATCTTATATTTCTAACAGAAACTGAATTTTACGGATTAGAAAGTGACAATATTTTAAATGATTTCATTCTTAAAAATCAGTCGAAAAATTATTATTCATAAATTAAAAATTATTTTATGAATAATTTTCTTTAAAAGTCTCAACTTCAATTTTTGAATAATTTCAGATTCAAATTTTAAAAACATTTAACTTCAACACAATTAAATTATTTTGAAAAATTATAATAAAATTCTATGCAAAAAAGTAAAGTAGGTGTTTACAAATTAAAAATTAGAAAATTTACAAAAATTAGTATAAAAGATAATATATTTAAATCTCTAAAAAGAATGTTAGTATTTATGAAAATAATTGAATTATTGCGAAGAATTTTATAAAAAAATTTTAAATACCTAATTGAAATAATTTAATTACTGAAAAGAATTTTATAAAAAAAAATTTAAATAATTGAATTGTTTCAAAAAATTTTAATAAATATTTAAGAATAATTACATTTTTCGAAAAATTTTAATAAAATTGTATTGAATTAAGAAAAATTCTTGAAAATAATTTAATTCCTAAAAAGAATTTTATTATTGTTAAAAAAATTGAATACATGTAAAAAATTTTATTATTTATGAAAATAATTAAATGTTTGCGTACAATTTTCTGAAATTTTTTTTTAAATAATTGAATTCTTTTGGGTATAGTTTTATTAAAATAGATATTGAAAATCATTGAAATAAGGAAAATTTTTGACAAGAATTTTATTAAAAGCTTTGAAAATAATTGAATTTTTTTATTTATAAAGATCATCTATAAGTTAAAATTTCTAATTAAATTCATTCAACATTAAAATTTTATAAAATTTCAAATTAAAACCCTTTGAAGTTCATTTATTTATAAAAATTGTAAACGCAAATCTTTTAAAATTGAATTAAATTTGAAATACTTAATTAAAATAATTCATTTTAATTTATTTATTTTATAATAGTTGTTTCATATTTAAGTTATTTAAAAAGAAATTTTTGTCAGAAGTTGAAAAAATTGAAGGTTTTCTATTAGAATTCGTGGTTATTTTATAGTTTATAAGTCAAACAAAAAGGACACAAAAATTCAGAATTTTCTTATAAATTCTAAAAGTTTAATTTTTTCAGAACTTTTAATAAAAATTCCCGACTTTTCCCTGAATTTCCTTTGTCAGATTTTATGATTATTATAATTATAATAATATTAAAACTATATATTCCAATTTATATATTTTATTTTTATAAAAAAGAAATTTGAATAAAAAATTCTTACGTTCTATTATTTTTAAAATTGATAATTGTATTTAAAAAAAAGTGAGTTAGGCAAATATATGGAATATAGGCAAATCTACATAATTAAGGGTTGTAGTATGTATAAGAAAAATAAAAAAAATGTATTGAAAAATTATATTTTTTTATTTTATTTAAAAAGCAATTTTTCTGATCACATAGTTGCTTAGACTTTAAAATATTTTTAATCATATATTCTTATGATCCTTTTGGCACCTTAAGAATTATAAGGAGCAAAAGACGAGGAACCAAAAAATGAAACCGCAAAATATTTTCCCTCAGAACACTTGAAACCCAACTTGTCTGACTCTTGTCTTTCGCTTTCTATAGAGAATGAGCCCAAACGGACCCAACGTAATTTTTCTGGTTGGTTTCTGGCAAGCCTGTTAGAAATATGGGTTTAAAGAACTGATGGTAAAAGGGTACTGTGTTGTACCGCGACGCGTAGAGCCGGTTAGTCGCTTTTTATGCTCCGCCGTGTGTACAGTTCAGTGTGGTGATTCTTCCTGTGTTGAAAAAAAAATTCAAAATGCCCCAAAGCGCTAAAAGTTTTTAAAAAATTTTTTTAAAACGATTTTTAAAATCTTTAATGTTTTCTTTACTTCTTGAAAGTTTTAAATTATTTCCAACTTAAAGCGCATGTGCATTGATGAACTAATACCGAGATTTCGAAATTTCTGATTGGATTTATTAAACTTCTGCGCTAGATACTGAATAATAAACTTTATAGCTCGGTGCTGTGTTTTTTTAAAAATAATAATGTCTTTGAAAATGCGCAAGATGTCAAAAATCGGAGTTTTTTGTTTTTGTGTGTAATATTCAACTGTGCGTGCATCCTATAGTGCAAATACGGATTAAACATCAGCTGTGAATTTTAACAGTAAGGTTTAGCCAATGTAAATTACTTGTTCATTTACTTTGACATATATTAACATAAAGTCAATTTACTTTATGTCTCTTAAGCACTCCGTTTTTATAAATATCTGCTTTTTTACGTACATAAAAAAATGCAGATTTCGAAATAATTATTGACTCAAATAATGATTTCAAAAAAAAATTTTTTCATATCATTGCAAACTATAGTTAGTCCAACATTTTTCATAACTGTCAAGAAGTCATAATGTTTACCAAATTCTTACTTTCAAAATCTTGTACCGTTAAAATTAGTAAAGTTTAAAAAAATTAACTTAAAAGACAATTTTTTTTTTACTGTGAATTCAAAAAAAAAATTCTAATTTAATCCTTTTTAACTTCAAATGTAACTTAAAAAATTTGATAAATATTAAAATTTTATTAGGTACTAATAAAAGAAAATACATTTTTTTCATTGCTTATTAAACTCATTTATTAAAATATTTGAATGAAATCAACTATTCTCGTTGGAATAATATTATTAAAAACTTTAGGAACATTTTGCTTGAAGTGTGAAAAAAACCGTTATTAAAGGAATATTTATTAATTTCCATTGATCAATAATTATTCCTAAAAAGTTATTATAAAAAAAAGTCATTAAAAAATTTTTTTAAAAAGATTTTTAAAATATTTAATGTTTTCTTTACTTCTTGAAAGTGACAGTTAAAACAGTTAATTAACAGTTTAAACAGTTTAAACAGTTAATTTTTGACAGTTAAAAGTCATTTAAGTCAATTAGTATTATATTTAGTTATTCCTAAATTTTAATTAAATCATGAATGTCGAAATGCTGTAAGGGAAGTGTCTATTGACAAGTCATTCTTTTAAATTAATAAGCACTAATTAAAATTAATTAATTTAGTGTCCTAAAGAAAATGAAAACATTATAATACAAGCGCCTCTGTCAACTCCACTGTCGACTACTTTCCAGTTAACAAATTTATTTTTTATTAAAAAAAATGTTCGATATCTTGATGTTTTATAATAATTTAAATTTACAAAAAAAATTAAATTATTTACAAAAATTTTAATTAAATCCTTCGCAAAAATATTCAATTATTTTCATTAATAATAAAATTTTTCATATAGGATTTCAATTATGTTTAATACAATTATTTTAAATGAATTCCAATTATTTCCGAAATTTTTTGCAAGAATTAGAAATTACATTTCACAATTCACAAATAATGAAATTAATTGCTGAAATTCAAATATTTTCAAAATTTACTATTTTAATAAAATTTCAAAAGAATTCAATTATTTAATAAATAATGTAATAAAATTTGTTGCAAGAATTCAATTATTTTCATAGAATTTCAATTATTTTTAATATAATTTTGAAGTAAATTCTTCGAAAAATATAATTAATTTCAAAAATTTTATTTAAATTCAAATTTACTAAATTTTGATTACTAGGAAGTTCTCCAATATTTAAAAAATAAAAACTTGAAATAATTAAAAAAAAATAATTTAATTAAACTTTTTTAAAATTTAATTATTTCTGAAAATTCATGTTATATTACATTTAATATTCAATTATTATCTAAAATTTTAATTGAAATTTAGTTTTTAATTAATTTTTATTAAAAAAAATCCTTCGAGAATTCCATTATTTAAATACAAAAGTAAAAAATTTATTTAATAATTCAATGTTTCTGAAAATTTAATTCTTATATATAGAATTTTATCATCAAATTTTCTGATAATTGAATTCTTTTGACGAATTTAAGGGCATTTGAACCATGATGACGTCACAGATTTAAAACTAATGCTTTGCACAAACTGTGACGTCATCAAGGTTCAAATCCCCTTAAATATAATTTCTAAGACTAATTAGATCCATTTTTCGAGAAATTCGATAAAAATTGTATTAAAAATAATTGAAATTTTGCGATGAGTTTTATTATTTATAAAAATAATTAAATTCCTAAAAAAAAATTTATTATTTAAGAAAATTGAATTATTACGAAGAAATGTAAAAACAAATTATTTTAATTCCTATGTGAAATTTTTATTAATTATTTTTGAAAATACTTGAATTTTTGCGAAGAAATTTATAAAAAATTTCTAAATAGTTAAATGCCTGTGAAATTTTTATTATTTATGAAAAATAATTTAATGTTTGCTTAGAATTTTATAAAAAATTATGAAAATAATTTAATTTTAGAGAAAAATTTTATTACATATTTTCAAAAGATAATTGAAATTTTGACGAGAATTTTTTTCAATTTTTGAATATAATTGAAATTCTGCAAACATTTGTAACTTCTCTAAGATTCAATTTTTTTTTAGTTTTTTTAACTAAAATTTTTCTATAAATCCATGATTTTTAATAATTAGTTAAATATATACCTATTAGAGAATAAAATAAAACTAATTTCAGAAGAATTTGGATTATTAAAATATTTCAAAAATCTAAGTTTTTTTTAGTTTTTTTTTATTCAATTCATTCGAAATTGAAATTTTCTAAAATTTCAAATTCAAACCTTTTGAAGTTCGCAGCAATAGAAAAAATTAAAGGTTTTGTATTAGAATTCGTGGTCATTAATTTCATATAGTTTATAAGGCAAACAAAAAAGATGACAAAATTCAGAATTTTCTTATGATTCCTAAAAATTTTTTATGAAATGAATCTTTTGGATAATAAAGGATAAATTCTACTAATAAATTTTAATTTATAACCAGATCTTGTTTTAATTTTCGTAAACTTGGCTGGAAAATTTAATTAAATATTGCGACCCAAAATACCCCTTGATACAGATAATTGATAAAAATCCGAATGAATTTTAATAATTATGTCCGCCATTTTGGATCCGCCATTTTGAATTTTTAAAAATAAAGGTCAAATTCGATTCAGCGACCCCAAAAATAACCCTTATACACCAAATGTGAGTTAAATTTTAAAAAATCATTTTTTAATTTTTTCATAAATTTTACTTGTTTCTAAATTGTTATATTACTTAAAAATAAAAAATAATTATTTATTATAATATGAGTTACAATATTTTATTTTAATTTGATTTAAATATAAAATATTATCCGGTTGTCTTTGGTCAACATTACTCCGAAAATTTAAACAACTTTAACAGTTTATACGGATACTATAACTAAGAGTTATCACAGTGTAACCTCGATAACCAAATTTAGGAAGAATCAACTAAATAAGTGCATTGCAATATACAGTTAACCAAATATTTGTGTGGTTCAAGCAAAAATTTGCTGCATGTAATCAAACTGTTTTTTCGAAGGCAAAATTTTTTAAACTGAACCAGATGTTTAATTAAGTCGAATAAATATTTATTTACCTTAAATAACAAGGCATCAAAACTGCAATTTCAAGAAATTAATATTAAAAGAAAAAGATGGCAATAATATTTAACAAATCAAAAGATAAAAATAACTAACTGTAAAATGCCGGGATCGATAGAATTAATTAATTAATAAATTAATGATTATAAAGAAAATTTGTTGATTTCTCAAGACTCCAACCAGGATTGAATAATTTTCTGTTTCAGACAGATCAATTGAGAATATTCTGATGGCGGAGCGAGAATTAACAGGAAGCTCAGATTATCGAAATTACCCTAGGGAATATTACGACGAAATTATAAAACTTGAGGCAAAATTGCGCAACGCTTATACCCAAAAAGTATTGAAAAATCAAATAGCTGAAAAAAAGGCAAATCTTCTAATTGAAGAAATAAGAAGAAAATTTGACGAAAAGACGACTAACAGTAATATCGAATTTGAACTACAAAAGGAATCGAAAAATCGAAAGAATAATTATTTGGAAATATGTGAAAAATACAAAAATGAATTGAAACAGCAAATAAAATTGAAAGAAGAAGAAAAGAAAAAGGTTATAGAGAATGAACGAAAAGAAAGAATAATTCTGCAGGAATTAAATAGAATTCAGGATGAAAACGAAGAGTTTAAGAAATTAATAGATAAATATGAATTAAGAGAAAGCGTTGAGAAAAGTTATTTGTTACAAATGGAGCTTAATGAAATTAAAAAACGGCGCAACGAAGATTTAGTGAAAGAAGAAGATGAAAAAATGAGAAAGTACATGGAAATGCTGGAGCAAAGAAACCTGTTGATTGAAGAACAAGAAGAAGAGAAATTAAGAAAGAAAGAGGAATCGATAAGTTTAGTAGCTGAAATCATAATTGCCGTCGAGTCTAGTAAACAGAAGAGAGAGGCACTTATAATGGATCTTGTAGCCGAAGAAATTCAACACCAAGAAATGATACTTGAAAAAGAAGAATTTTTAAAAAGAACAAGAGAGAAAAATGAATTAACGAATTGTTTAAATAAGCAGATTTTGTTTAATGAGGAGTGCAAGAGACGCTTTTTGGAAAGGGATAGAGATTTTGCAGATGCTGTTATGAAACGAATCCTCGAAGATGAAAGGTTGGAAAGATTAACACTTGAAGCTAGAAAACGAAAATCATTAAAATATCGAGATGACATAGAAAATCTTATAGAAGAGAAAAAGTTGCTGAGAGATAAACAAATTAGTCGAATTCAAGAGGAACTCGAATCAGAACATCTACGTGAAACAATGATGATAGAAAGTATCAGAGATGAGAGAATTTCTTTATTAGAGAAACACATGGAAAGTGTGGCTGAGTTCATTAATAGCAGTGGATTAACTACAGAAGAACAGAAAATTCTTGCATCATACTTGAAGAAACAGACCTAAACATTTTTAAATTATAAATTAAACACCCAATATTCTGTGCTCTGATCTTTGATGTAAAATTATATTGGTTACAAATTTTAAATACGAAGTTTATTAAGTTAGCATCTATGACTATTATTATCTGAAGATGATGTGTTAAATTTTCCTTGCTTAATAAAAAAGTTCCTAATATTCACTTTAAAGTAGTTTTTCATGTATGCCTGCAAGCTAAAACCAATCTAAAAATAGGAATGAAGTATACTTTTTTTTAGAATTTTATTAGAAAAAATTACCAAAACC